GATCCGGGCACCAAAGTGTGATGGAACCAGTTGCTACGACTTGCGTCGCCAGGATAACAGTAAATAACAAGGATGAGAGAATGAGGTTATACACGAAAATGGAATCAAGGTATACGTTTGCAAAACCAATCGGGATGGAAAATTAACAGTTAGATACAAAAAGCCGAGTGCAGGATCGCCACTTACTGCGCGGCTACACCAAGTCTGATAGAACAATAGCAACCCACCGGGTTGGCTGAACAGCTCCTCCAAGTGTGCTAACCAACGACCAATGCGACCTCTCTGATAGAAAACCAACTTTCCGTCTCTGCTACTCTTTCAATCACCACTACCATCTTTGATCCTGTGTTTCCGATGAGCAGGGCCAGCACTCAAAGGTTCGAAACGTCTTCTTGCTTTTGCATCTCATGTGCCCTAACTATCCAACAACGATTCCAGGCGAACACCGGTTCGAATAACTAAGGATACCGATAATGATTACTACGCGAAATCGAGAGAGACGCTTGGTACGCCTCGCGGCAAAGCTCATGAAAAACCACAGACTACCAAAAGATGATCAAAGTCGACGCAAGTATTCCAGAACAAGAGAAAATACAGGATGGATCCGCACCACTTGTAACTTATGGCAAAGTGATCTTCTTGGGGCCATCGCTGGCCAGCTATAGGTGGACGCCATATGGCACTTCGGTGCTCACTGCGTCTAAAAGCGGGGCTACAAAGAAACAGTTGGTGCTAAACAAACAGCTACAACAGACGCTCGCCGCTGTCCGTACGGTAGGGGTGAAGTACATATTTACCCCTAGCTGAGCTCCCAAAGAGCTCAGATGATCACCTTGCGAATTCATACTTGCTGCAACAACAACTACATCCTAACTGGTAACACTGCGGAGAAGTATGTTCAGTTCGTGGAAGAAAGTGTCCTTGGTAGCACCTGAGCTGCAGTCGGCGGGTGCATACGCGGAAACCACAAACAAACAGCGTCTCGTATTACTTCGGGAAACAACTTTAGTTGATGTCGTCAAACGGACTGCACACAAACGGCTAGTTACGAGAATCCACTCAACCAACAATGGCTCAGGCTTGGAGGTGAGAATGATGCCCACACCAGCTCTACATCTGGTCCTCCCTGTGTGGGAGAGTTGTGAACGTCTACAGAAGCGATGCTGGTCTGTGTGAGCAGCTGTGGTGTTCGATCCACCTCAGACGAGAGGAGCTGATCGTGGATGCATTTTATCGCAGTCCGCTGAGTCGTTGTTTGGATTGGCTGTCGCATCTCCGAAGCCACATGCGTCGTCCCCAATTTATACTCGTGGGTGATTTCAACTGTCCCCGGATACGATGGCCTGAAGTTGAATGTATGCCAGTACTTGAAAGTGGAGCAGCGCAACACTTATTTTAGCCGACGCGAATAACGCCGCGCTCAACTCCGTGGTGCCTGGACTTAGTGTTAACAAGCTAAGAACAAGATGTGTATGATGTTCAGGTCCTAAAGTCCCTAGCAGCAAACGATCATTCAGTGCTCACAACTAGTATGGATCTATCTTTACGGTATGTCCGTTCGCTGGAGACAGCTTACAAGTACTGGAAAACTAACTTCGACGGTCAAACTCCAGCGGCGAACCAAGCAGACTAGTCTCTGCCGCAAACTGCATCTGTGGAAGACGGTTGGACTGTTATTCTCGTTTGTGCCTTTGAAGTGTCGGAAAGTTGGGCCAGTCAAGCCGCATTGGTTCGACAAGGAGTATGGTAAATTGGCTCGGCAACGGCGCAAGTTATGGGACAAATTCCTCCTTTCCAGCGTATAAGAGACAGCGAAATATTTGCAAGTGCAAAAACAAGCAAGGGCCGACATTTCGAACAGTAGCTCGCAACCGCCGCAAAGATCGCTCCGAAGAGAATATTTGCTTACATGAAGAGGTGCCTCAAGCCAGCAGGTGATCTGCCAGTGCTAGAGGGCTCAGACGGACAGCCCCTAAACTACAGCACTGAGCGTGCGTCCGTCTTGGTGACGCATTTTCCTTCCGTGTCTGCAAATGACCAGGTGTCTGTACCGAGTTCGACGTGTACCGCGCTTACCGAACTCGACAGTTTGGTTTGCGGTGTTGAAGATGTGCATCAACTACTTAGTGACCTTGAAGGCACCAAACCTATTGGTTCTGACGGACTCCACCCACTGATTCTCAAGTTCCTATCGGCCATCATCTCACCTGCTGTGAATGACTTGCTCAGCAGGTCACTATCCGAAGGTTCATTGCCGAAGGAATGGAAATGCTCAGTGGTTAGGCCGATTCCGAAAGGCGGTAAATCCAGCAAAGTGGACAGATACAGACCGATTTGTCTGACACCTATTTTGGTCAATATTGCCGAGAAGATCGTAAAGAAGGGTCTACTACAGCTGCTCTATCCAAAAGATCTACTGGCACCCGCACAGCGTTGTTTTATGCCAGGCCGCTCATGCATTACCAACCTGCTGGTGACGAGGCATGAATGTTTGCAGGCAGTGAATCAGAAATCTTCCGACGTAATCTACATCGATTTCAGTAAAGCGTGCGACAAAGCAAACCCTGAGGTTTTCCTCCACAAGCTGAGAATGTGCGTTGTTAGTGGATCACTCCACCAGTGAATCCAGGACTTTCTCGTTGGGCGAAAATGGAGGGTACAGGTCGACGGTCATCTAACTGACTGGTATCTCCCCACTAGTGAAGTACACAAAGGCAAGGTGCTGGGGCCCACTCTGCTCCTAATCCATATCAACGATCTACCTCAGCTTCTTCGGTCGCCGTGTGTCCTGGTTGCGGAAGACATGGAGATTTGGAAGTAACATCCCAGACGACTGCAGTCTACTTCAACAAGACCTCAACTGTTTCTCCATGTGGTCTGCGGAAGTCCGCTTCCCAGTCAACTCATCCAAGTCGACATCTATGAGCCTGGGAAAGGGTGGTGATGGCCGAATTTACACCAATGATGGTCAACCGCTACATCCCACCTTCCGTGAAGGACTTAGGTGTACTCTCGTGCTGCGATTTGAAGTCTGTTGACAACACGAGCAGACTAAGGCGCATAGAATATCACGAAGCTGCAACGCCTCTGGTTGTTGGCAGTTGCTCACACTTGTCTCCTTCTTTGCGCTTTCCAGACTTGCATCAATTACGCCATCACACCCGGATGTTAGTACCCGCAGAACACAACTTGGGCATACTAGCTGTCTCCAGTAATGGATAGATATCGTCCTGGAGAGCTAGTAGCTGGTGGCCATGTGGGCTCGCTTGAACAGATGATGGGCTGCGTATCCGCCTGCTGAGACGAACACACCATGCTTCTCGCTATGGAATGTTTAGCCATGTCAGCTAGCTCGCGAGCTTTATCGACATTTTATGATCGCATTTTATTCTGATACTAATTGCAGAGTATTGGGACAAAACTGTGCCGAATTTCACGAATAACTATAAATTGGTCAATGGATAGACCAATGCAGGAAATATGATAGCTGATATGACACATGAAGCAAGTAACAGCATTTGCACAGTGTTCGACAATTTTACAAGTAATACAATGAGTTTGCTTCTTCATTACTATTAGCGTGCCAGATATAGTGATAAAATGGTGAATCGATCAACCAACATCGGGGCAAATGGGAAACTATACAACAAAATGAAGAGCAGATACGTATACACAAATTCAGAATCGGAAAATACTAAATTTGACAAATAATTCTGGGAGACTGAAATGCACAGAGTAGTAGAAGAAGCAAACTGGCCTGACAGAGGAGTTTGAAAAGTCAAACTAGCCACCGCTACTAGACAACACACAGAGAATATAAATAAAGGTGCAAGGAATCGAATGCAGGGAAGTCACTGACTGCATGCCCGATGATGTCTCCAAGCGTTGATGTGGTAAAGACAGAGGTCCCCATCGACGAAGATAACACGCACCAGCCTAACCGCTGTCTCCATAGATGACTAAGCCTCTCGAAGGCCACAACAGCTTCGCTGATACGCACAGTGACCTCAGTGATGTAACTACTGAAGATTGCATAAATGTCAAGATAAGTGAATTCAATAACAAGCTTCAGTGACTATTCGCTAACAAAAAGAATTAACATCGTATTGGTCTGAGCATGGAACAGAACTTAGTAGTTTGAAGGTGCGAATCACATGCTGAAGATGTAGTTTTACGCGCCAACCGATTCAGTAGCGTTTGTATGATCCTATCCAGCGGTCAAGTTGAGACACAGTGAAAGTAGCAGTGACCATTAACCTTATCCATAATCAAATGAACAAGGAAACAAATCTAGTGATAGAATTGGTCTTTATAACTTTCGATCTGCTGTAGGTAGCAGCATGCAGAGGGACAACGAAAGTACTGTGTAGTTAGGTGGTGTTGACTAACTCTAGAAGAGCTTCCAAGTTGAACTACATACATACGGAAGACAAAGCACACAGTAACAAAGAAGTACGGCGTGAGAGCTAACATCATCCGTCGACTGACCCAATATACAGCACGAAGAATGTAAAATGCTAATATAAAGCATATCCCCGTTTTAGATACACAGTCAACATATCAAGCCACGAGCGATCGCGTAACTCAAGAAGAAACCGAGATAGAACGAGAGATGAGAATAGTGGTAGTGTTCCGTGGGTAGATGACATGCTGGCTGGTTATTCCAAAGTGAGAACTTCGACAAGTAGTTTTTGTTCTGAGCATCTGATCAAACGGTCTAACTGCAAGGAAGGGTGAACAAAGAGGGTTAGATACAAGTGCCACGGTCGTGTCAATTTGGCCTGCATCTAGCAACCGTTTTGAAAATATGAAATGATTGTATTTCTGAGGAGGATAAAAACGCCTTGGACAAGATGACCAAACCGGCGCAAGATCGTAGTGATTTTAAAAACTCCGTCGAAGCACTCATAAAAATGTGGGAGCACAGTGATCGACAGCAAAATGTCAAACAAAACATGCGGTGATTGAATAGAGCACTAGGTAGAGTAGATTCGATTTACCATTCTCGTTGAAGATTAACTTGTTGGCATACACGTTCTCAATTGGTATTTCAAGTGCCTCAGCAACTTGAGAGACTATTGGCAACAGCCCACCACTGACGAGACACACGTGGATCCCACTTGCCTTTAGTCGATTAACAAGGAGCCTGGTAAGGAAAAACGGGAAGGCTGACAAGGTACATAGTCCGTTTGTGGTTAGCTGCGATTATTCAAGAAAAAGTGCGCCAAACGGGTGCTAAAGCAAAGTTAAGAATGGTGTAACAAAAAAGTAAGAACTGAAAATAAACGAAAACTATCAGGTAGGCAGCCGCGAGAGACAATGGCTCAAGCTGCGCTGCATCACACACCGTACTAAACGGTGATGTGGTACGATATCTAGTAGCTGTCCGGATGATTTCCTCGGTTTGTCTGTGTAAAACGCTAACAAAAATTACTTTTTTGCAGTGTACTTAGGCGACCGATAGGGAATTTTGACTTGCTTGTTGTGTTTGACTGTCTGAGTCGAGCACCACCTATGCCTGGCGCTTGTTTTGGGTTGCCACGCGCGACAGCTGTGTGCTGCACTCCTTTCCTTCTCTAGCTAGCAGTGCCCACCGGTGTCGTCATTTTTGTAGCTAGACAAACAGAAAAACTTTAACTGTACAAATTAAAAGCCATCTTGCAACTCGATATTCCTTCTGGAAGCACTATCTAAGCTCCCGCTAAACTGGTGACCCCGACTTCGAAAAAACCTTAGAGCCAGAAAGCTTGGATATTTCCTGTGAGCTCGTACTATTTATTTTCCCCATAGTTTCCGGTTTACTTTTGCCAATGGTAGCATTTTAGGTACATATATTTATCATAGATTCTGCAGACCACAAGATAATGACTACTGGGGTTAGTGCTTTATCTTTCTGTCCATACTATTGGGGATATAGATTTCTTTTGTGGTTTGCTCAACTGGAGGGAGAATTTTTAAAACCACAGAATCACTCTGGACTACGCTAAGTACAGTAACCTCATTTCGTATCTCCCTAAGAAGATATCCAAGAAGATGCGTGGCATCATTATTTCTCAGACAGAAAAATTCCATGAGGCCACCAAGGAGGGCACAAACGCGTTATGCTCGCTGAGAAAGTCCGCCTACAGTGGCTTTTCAGGGATCTTGTAGTTGGTCGGCAAATTGCCCTCAACCTCATTACGAGAGATGCAACAGCTACTTGCTCCATCGACCATGGAAGAGATTGCATCGCGAACCATGGCTAAAAAATATACCGGAAAACAAAACGATTCTGGCAGTCGTGAGCTTCGCATCGCTCAATGAACTACCTAATCTCACAGATCGAGTCACCGAACGATCCCAGTCAAAAGCCGACGCCAGCAAAGTCAAGGTAGTAGAAATCGGTTTTTCAAAATAAGCGCTTATTTCGCAAAGCCAACTCAAAAATTTGGTCCCCTTTCTCCAAGCAGAAAGAAGACATAGATTACGATATGTCAACATTTCGTTTGTTCTCATCAGTCGCAAACACAATACAAGCAGAAACACAGACACAAATATCTATATAGGGAAAAATTGGCACACCAATTAAACTGTCAAAATCTAGACCAAGGCATCTGATTGATTGCCCCAAGAGTTTCTGTGCACATAACACAGGCTGATAAGCGCTCATTAGCAACGCTTCACTGATTGCCAACATTATCAGATTCCTGTTACGTAACGACACCTTGAACGCAGCATTCGGGTTCATATGGGGACCTGTTGTCATGAGGCGTTTGGCGATAGATGATGACGGACTCCGATTCGTTCTGTGGGGCGTTCCGTTTTGTTACGCCATCATTTGTTCGACCTACTTTGGCAAGTGCGCAGCCACCCTCTGAGCCAACCGACGGTTAATCTTGCCTATGTAAACATCACCGCAATTGCAGATGAACTTGTAAACCACATGAGAGGCCGAACTAACCGAAAGGTAGCTCTGACGGCGCTGAAGAACCAGTTTCCGGGTGGTGTGCATGAGGCGCAACTGGGTAGTCGTGTATGTGCAATTTGGGGCGGAGCTGAGTTTGTGTCCGATATCATTTGCCACATGGTCTCCCTTGAACTGCAGAACCAAATAGACAGCTTTTTCCTCTGCCGTTTGCACCGACAGTTTCTTCTTGGGGGGTCAGTTGTGCATATGGATGAACTGTTCGGGATAACCATTCGACACTAAGGTCCTATACAGAAACTTTTCTTCAGCTTCCAGCAATTCCGGACCTGTCTTGTTTGCACAGAAACTATTGAGACAATCAATTAAGTTACCGTGATCTTGATTTTAACTTTTTGATTGGTGTGCCAACCTTTTCCCTGTATATAACCGTCCATGAATCCCGCTTGTATTGTGTTTGCGACTGATGAGAACAATCGAAATGTTAACATATCGCAGCATATGTCTTCTCACTGCTCTGACCAAATTCCGGACTACAAATTCGTCTAGCCCTGTAGAAGAGCGTTTTCACTAGGCCGCGTTTGTATGCAACCGGGGCGAGACTGGAAAAGTGAAGGCACTGCCCATTCCAGGTCGCCTTACGGTAAACGGTGCACTACAATGTAGCTCCATCCCGTCGTTTGGTGAGGATATCCAAAAATGGCAGGCAACCATGTTGTTCTATTTCGTGGGACACAGATAAGTTGGGGTGAATTGAATCAAAAGTGGCTAACAGCCGCGCAAAATGTTCGCTGCTGGTGAATACCAAAATGTCATCCACGTACCGTTTGTGCAATTTCGCCTCACCAATACTGGCAGCAACTTGTCTTCTAATCAAGCTAAGAAAGATATCTGCCAAAACCGGTCTCAATGGAATGCCCATGACGACCCCGTCGATCTGCTTGTATGACATCCCCTCAAACTCAAACCGTACATTTTCTGTGCAGAGTAGAAACATATCTCTCAAATATTCTACAGGGATACCCACATGCATGTTTTGGCTCAGAATTAAATGACACAAATCGTCAACTGTTTCATGAAGGGGCACGTTTGTGAATAGTGAGTCCACATCTATAGAGTACATGAACTCCGAGCCCAGTGAGGATTGTTCCACCGTCTCCGCCAGTTCAAAAGAGTCTTCCAGGCAGTACGTAGTCAGAAGTTTGCGCACTGGAGCTATGAGTTTCACCAACCACTGCTCAACGTTATAATAGGGCGAGTTGTTTATGCACATAATCGGACGCAGTGAGTTACCTGGTTTGTACAACTTGGGCGCGCCCCTCATTCTTGGTGTCTGTGTCCCAGTCGGTTTCAGCTGCCTGTACTGCGACTAAATGATGCATCCATCTAGCACGCAGGCCAACTTCGAGTATCTGTATGACCAGCTCAGTTATCTCCCACCAAGATCCATGGAAGATGCGGGTTGCTTTCGGGCAAAATTGGTGGATATTGCGAACCAATTTCTGAATATGCCAACAAGCCAGAGATGCTGCCTGAAGGCTGAACACTATGCGGCAATCAGAGAGTTAAAAATGACACACGTAACCTTCTTGCAGCCGAATAAAGGATCAGGCATTGTAATAAGGAACAGGAATGACTACGTCTCAAGAATGGAGTCTATTTTGGGGGATAGATGTAAGTTCCTGAGAGACACGACACCAAAGAACATGTTGGTGGAGAAGCAGGTAGGAAGAAAACTCCAGATACTCTTGCTACATTGATACATCACTGAGTCGCAGTACAGGCAGCTGGGACACAGACACCAAGAATGAGGGGCGCGCCCAAGTTGTACAAACCAGATAATTCACTGCGTCCGATTATGTGCATAAACAACTCGCCCTATCATAACGTTGAGCAGTGGTTGGCGAAACTCATAGCTCCAGTGCGCAAACTTCTGACTACGTACTGCCTGGAAGACTCTTTTGAACTGGCGGAGACGGTGGAACAATCCTCACTGGGCTCGGAGTTCATGTACTCTATAGATGTGGACTCACTATTCACAAACGTGCCCCTTCATGAAACAGTTGACGATTTGTGTCATTTAATTCTGAGCCAAAACATGCATGTGGGTCTCCCTCGGCCGGTGGCCGAGTGGTCTACGCGTTTGGTTTGCAACCATAAGGCCATCGGTTCCAATCTGCGAAGGGGTGGGCGTCCACGAGGTATACCCAGCCCGCGCGCGACTGGTGGTCGCACAGCAGCGAAGCGCCGTTACGGTGTACAGCTGACACATTATTATTTACTCTGCACAGAAAATGTACGGTTTGAGTTTGAGAGGATGTCATACAAGCAGATCGACGGGGTCGTCATGGGCATTCCATTGAGACCGGTTTTGGCAGATATCTTTCTTAGCTTGATTAGAAGACAAGTTGCTGCCAGTATTGGTGAGGCGAAATTGCACAAACGGTACGTGGATGACATTTTGGTATTCACCAGCAGCGAACATTTTGCGCGGCTGTTAGCCACTTTTGATTCAATTCACCCCAACTTATCTGTGTCCCACGAAATAGAACAACATGGCTGCCTGCCATTTTTGGATATCCTCACCAAACGACGGGATGGAGGTACATTGTAGTGCACCGTTTACCGTAAGGCGACCTGGAATGGGCAGTGCCTTCACTTTTCCAGTCTCGCCCCGGTTGCATACAAACGCGGCCTAGTGAAAACGCTCTTCTACAGGGCTAGACGAATTTGTAGTCCGGAATTTGGTCAGAGCAGTGAGAAGACATATGCTGCGATATGTTAACATTTCGATTGTTCTCATCAGTCGCAAACACAATACAAGCGGGATTCATGGACGGTTATATACAGGGGAAAAGGTTGGCACACCAATCAAAAAGTTAAAATCAAGATCACGGTAACTTAGTTGATTGTCTCAATAGTTTCTGTGCAAACAAGACAGGTCCGGAATTGCTGGAAGCTGAAGAAAAGTTTCTGTATAGGACCTTAGTGTCGAATGGTTATCCCGAACAGTTCATCCATATGCACAGCTGACCCCCCAAGAAGAAACTGTCGGTGCAAACGGCAGAGGAAAAAGCTGTCTATTTGGTTCTGCAGTTCAAGGGAGACCATGTGGCAAATGATATCGGACACAAACTCAGCTCCGCCCCAAATTGCACATACACGACTACCCAGTTGCGCCTCATGCACACCACCCGGAAACTGGTTCTTCAGCGCCGTCAGAGCTACCTTTCGGTTAGTTC